TGCTCTTGAACAAATCAAGCATGTGGTTGGAAGATCCCTCATCAAGACCTCGAAAAGATTTAAGGTAGCACCTCACAGACCAGCAGCAAGTAAACAGCGCTTCTAAAAACCTTTAAGGTTTTCCCTACAGAATTCCAACTTGCACCCAAAGCAAAGACCCTGTTTTAAGAGTTTTATCGCTGTGTCTTTTTCTAATGGAGTGAGTCTCAAAAATTTTACAGGAAGCCCCTAAGGTTTATATGAAAATTATTACTAAAAAAAGCACCACCATTTAAAAAAAGACACAAAAGGTTTCTAGATTCCTAACACTAGGAGCAGGAAGCAGCCTATTGAACTGTTAACAAGTTATTTCTTATGGAAAAGAAAGAAAGAATCAAAGGAGGGGCCCTTAACTTTCCAGCCAGCCCAGCTGCTCTGCAGACGAATGAATGAAGTAACTTTTTTGGATGTTTGGTTTCCAGGAGCCTAAGAGGAGCCAACCAGCTGAACGTAGCTCAACTTACAGAATCATGACAAATAACAAATTACTGTATCTTTAGCCACTGAGTTCTGGGGTGGTTTTTTATGTGCGGCGGGGTGGGGGTGGGGTTGTTCGTTTAATGCAGGCAGGGCAGATAACTGAAAACGGGTGACTGAAACACTGGCTGCTGCGTTGTGTTACCGACAGACTGGAGGTGGGAAGAGGATGGAGCTATAGGTGTAGCGGCAAGGACACCAGCTCTGGCAATAATGCCAGGGGAACTGGTGGCAGCGCTTGGACCCAGGAGTGATCAGCGATGGTGGTGAGAAGGGCAGATGTAGGTCATATTTAAAGGGACAGCTAAATTATTTAAATGTGGGACAAGAGAAAAAGAGGACAACTCAAAAGATTCACCGATTAATTATCTATGCAACTAAAAGAATGGAGCCGTTATCAAGTAAGATGGGACAGGAAATGGGAGAAGCAGTTTTGAGAAGTCAAGTCAGGGAGCCAATGAATACTAGGTATCTACTCAGGAGATGTTATTAGATGCGTATATGAGTGTGTAGTTCAGGGACATGTCATGACCAGAGATATAAATCGTAAGTATAGAGAGGTATTAAAAGCCTTGAGGCTGGATGCAGTCACCCAGAAATTGAGTAAAAATAGAGAAAGGCTCAAGGACTGAGCCCTCAGACTCCTGTATTTAGAGGTTAGAGAAATAAGGAACCAGCAAAAGGACTGAAATGGATGCTGGCAAGGTAGGAGGAGAATAAGGGGAGGGGGTAACCTGGAAGCCGAACGAAGAGCCCCAGGCCCTGCTGAGGGGCGCACAGGCAGGGGACCAAGCACGGACCTCTGGATCCAATGGCAGGGTGCGCAGGGCAGTGAGATGGCAGCCTGGCTGATTCAAGACAAAATGAAAAGAAAGAAACTGGCTTTGCAAGTTTTCCTATAATATAGGGAAAGAAGAACCAGGAGGTAGCTGAAGAGAAACATGAGGTCAAGAGAGGTTTTTTTGGGGGGGAGGGGAGTAATTATAGCATGGTTGTATAGTGACAGGTTAGACCCATCAGAGAGAGGAAAAAGCCAATGATGGAGAGAAAGGATAAATCGCTAGAGCTGTGTCCTCGAGAAGATAACAGGGATGAGAGTGCACACTAGAAGGGCTGTGATAGTCTTCTCGCTGGTTTCCTCATCTCTTAATTTGTTTTTTCTTCAACAACTCCTACCTCAGACTAATTTTCCCCAAATACTATTTTTATTATAATATGCAACAATATTTTGCTATATTACATTTGTTTCCAGCCTATTTTAAATTCCTCTGCTTAGCTGTCAACTATTGAATGGTCTGACTCTCAATGAAGTCAATCCAACTCAACTATGCGACCAACCCTTGGCTAGGCACACAGGACAGTCACATCGTCATGTCTTTATTCAAAGTGTTAACTGTAGAGGCAGATATATACTAAGGTGAATTTATGGAGATAAAAGGGGAATGTAGATAGCACTAAGTAAATCATACAAGGGACAAAATAATTCTGCCTGGACAGTAGAAGGGGGCAGCAAAAGTTACAGAGGGTTGGTATTTTGAGCAGATCACATGAAGGATGACACAGTGTGAAGAGGAGTAGCAGGTGTGTCTAGATCACAAAAGACATGGACGGGAGCCAAGGTCAGAAGAGGAGCCAGGCTGCATGCTATAAAAACCCCAAGCCCTGTAAACTATTTCCCCACTGTTCTTGGTGGGGAGCCTTTATGCAGCCAGACTTGGTCTTTACTGTTCCCTGCCCTGCTTTGTTTCAGTTGCAGTGAGCCATGGTAATCCAGAAACCAAGGGCAGCAAGTGGGTGATAAGGTTGAACCAGATCAGAGATCTTCAAAGTGAAGAACAGGCACCTCTGGGAACCCCATTACTTTCTAAGGTCTGTATAGGCACAGAGAGGTCTAAAGGAACCAATTCCCAATCCAGAGGCACCCCTTTTTATAAATGATATGCCTGAAATGTGCCTGAGGCAAGCGATTTTAGCAAGTTCTCTTTCTTACTTCCTCTTTTATAATTACCCTTCTGCCATTTTACCAAAGAAAGGTCTGTCTCTTCCCTATCCAGAATCTCACCATGTGCCTCAACTCTCCAGGGTGCCAAGTAATGGGGCAATTTGGAAAACTGATATTAGAGAAACTTTCTTTAACGAAAGCAGTGATAGCAACACTACCCCTATCAATGTCTATGATATAGTTTACAACATAGTTTAGTTTTATGCCTCATGATTACTTATAAAATGTAAATGGATTATTTTGGCTAATTGTATACTAATAATATTTAAAATAACAAAGATTTTTTACAATAAAACCATGTTTAATTGAATTTAAATTCATATACTTTTTGTTGCTGAGGAGTAAGAAAAGACACTGGAAAAATATGCTGTAAAATTTTGAACTGTAAAATGTTCAATTAAAGAATAATTATTTGAAAGTTCTAGAGGTCAGTGTTAACAGTGTGCAAGGGGTATTCTGTTTCTCAAATTTGTTTGAAGGTATATGAGCAAAATGCCCAGTGAAGAGAATGAAACGATACAAGGGATAATTAAATATGTCACTGGGCTCGGTAGGTATGGTAAGTAGAGCTCCCTCTCACTCTCAACAATCTTACAACCATCATTATTTTTCTCTTCTAGGATCATTTTCAGTTTCAATTCCTTTATGCAACAAAATACTTTCTGTCCCTCTCCTGTTCATCTATGTATCCTGCCAACACTTGGAGGAAGCTTCACATTTGGAGAAGAAACAACTTAGTTAGAAAATAGTTAGCTAATAGACATTCGGACTTTTTAATACATTTTTATACAGCCCTCTGCCTTTCTAAAAATGACCCACAAAGCACTACTAGGCTTGCAGTGTGTTAAGACACTGGAAAATAAACACATACACATACCGTGCCTCTAGATACAAATTATGTGCAAATACATTAATGAATTGAACTGAGTTCAAAGAACCTCTTATTTCCTATTTCTGATTTTAGCATTTAATGACTTAAAACAAACAAATAAAAAGGATAACATTCTTTGACCTAAAGCAAAGTAATAAATAGTAATAAATAAATATATATAATTGATCATAGCTAATTAGCAAAATTCACCATTAAATAGTTTAGTAGTGAATATATTCCACTACTAGCTAAAGCCACAATGTTCTTTCAATTTCCCTATGTAATTTTCCCATCCAATCCATGCCAATAGGATGTAGCAGCAAGCATTCAGCCTCAACAGCCTCATGCAGTAACCCATAATCACCGGGCAAATAAATCTAAGAGCTAATATTGAACTAAAGAAAGAAGTTGGCTTTTTGCAACCCTTATACCATAAAGCCTTCCAAAGAGGGCACTTCTCAAATAGTTGCCTACACCACATCCGTTGTGATCTAATGAGCAAGTCTGCTCTGATCTTTCCATGAATGTCAGCCTCTATTTTGATGGATGGACAGACGGGTAATAGATACAGACACATAGATCAATCCACATGTGCTTACTGTTTGTTAAGCTCTATCAGCAAAAACTGATATAAATTAAATAAATATTTTCTTTAGAGCACCATAAGAGAAATTTCTCCAAGGGACCAAACACATACAGACACTCATGTGAATATTATTTGATTATAAAGATAATCTTTAAGTATATAATTAGTATTGTCAATCATGGAAGTGCCACATAATCACTACGTTAAAACCAACATTCTACCATTATGACACTCTGCATCAAAATGAAAAATAGTGGTTGATCATAACTGTCAAATTGTGAGAAATATTTCTATGGAAATAACATCATCCTTCATAAACAACAGAGATCTTAAATTTGGGTTCAAATCCCAGCTCTACCACTTTCTAGCTTTGTAACTTTGGGAGAGTTATCTAATTACTCTATACTTCAATTTCTTCAACTAAAAAATGTAATGTTTTAAAGTTTATTATGAGGAGTTTTAAAAATACATACATACTTTAAACAATGTCTGATATGTAATAGTTTACCAAATATTAGCTATGATTCATACAATATCCCACAACTCAAGTGGGCCTAAACATAGTAATTTCTGTATTGTCATTAACTAACCTTCAAAAGAACAGTTACTTACTGAACAAAACTTAACAGTAAACTCTAAAAGTGACAGGAAGAAAAAAGTCTACTAAGTTCTAAAATGATTTAAACTGTTTTGGGTCTGAGACCCATTTAAAAGCTGAATTACGGATATTTCCCTCAAAAAAAGTGCACTTATACCCAACATTTCAGGGCTTCATTCACAGCTTTCGTGAAGTATATGCAGAGACAGAAAATCTGACATGGAGAACCTTTTAGGGTTTGAAATCTTTCCATTATCAAACTCTATTTCAATCAACCTTAAGCCACTGTTTTTCTCCACCATCCGAAGAAGTTTATAAACATATATTTCATTGACAAACATTATGTTTTGTGATATAGCTGTTGAAATTTATGTATTAATCTCATGAACTAAAACAAAAAGCATCAAATTGTTTTTCTTAAACCCACCAGTAATCTGCAGGAAAATTCCAAATTCCCGAACTATAGCTTCAAATCAGGTTCTGGAGTTCCCACTGCAAATGAGCACAGAGCAGTGAATCCAAAGTATGGAAACATTCTGTCTATACGAGGCGCAAGGCCAGTGACCAGCCTAACCCCACTCTGTCACTCTGTCACTGCCACAGCGCCAACAACACTTCGGGAAAGCCATTCCGAGTATCACTAAAACTTGGAAAGGAGAAAACAGAGGGAGAGATATAAGGATGTGACATTAAAATACAATCATCATAAACTTTCAGAACTTTCTGAGACTTCTTTATTAACTAAAATTTTTAATTTTCATCACTGTTTACATCTAGAATGGTTACTACTTTGTCTTCAGTCCTTTCCTTCATGTAACTTTATTTTTTCTTTGAGCCTCCTCCCTCCGCTACCATGCCTACCCCACTGTTTTTTAATAAAATGACAGTTAATATTTTAATCTACATTGTAGCTTCTTGCTCTCAGTAGAATAGCTCACCTGGCAGCCTCTGCCACAGCAGGAGGCTGTAACCATTCATATATGACTTATTTATTCAGCTGCATCAATAAAGTGTCTTTAGGAACACTGACAAGATGAGTTTGCCTGTTACAAGATGCCATAGTATAACAACATTAGACAACAGCTAGTGACAACCACTTTATCACAAGTTTTGAAATTTCTGATTCACCATGCTTAAGAATCGATTATAAGCATCATTTAAGAATAATCTTATTTTATACGTAGAAGTTAACAAAATCTTAAATACATGGAATTACACAAATTCAAATGAATTGTACACTTGCTATAGGCCGTCGAGCAACACTTGAAAAAATTAACAAGATTTTGTTGAAATCCACCTTAAATAAGCATTTTATTGCACTACAAGTCTCCTGCATTTCTTCCAAATTTCTAATACAGCTTTTCTAAGAAAGAAGTGCTTGTCCAGGGTTGGAACTAATAATATAGACCCAGGTCCGAATGCCCAACAGTGATCATTCCTGAAAATTCCTCTCCCTAGGAACACAAGCGTCCTGATCAAAGAGGAGGGTAATTTGATTTTGCAAAGAGGGAGACAGACGCGCAGGCTCACACCCAAGTTTGCACTGGCCGGCAGGAAGTTTGGGAGTGGGCAAAGAAGTGCAAAGCTGCGGTACCTTTCTAAACTTTCTTTGCTGGATTAGGTAGTTGCAGGACTCAGCGCTCTGTGTTGTCAGACCATGTCTCCTCCGAAACGGGGAGGAGGCAGCGACAGCCAGGACCACGTCCCCCACCCTCCGGCAGCCTGCTGCGGAGTCGGCGGAGCGCACAGAACCGAGCGCAGCCTTCCGGTCGCCCACAGCCAGCAACCCCCAGTGCACTGGGAAGCCGCAATCTGAGCTCCTCTGGAAGCGGAGGATGGCGACAGTCCACGAGAGGAATAAAGGGTCAGAAGAGGAAAAACCTCTGCAAGTAGCGCAACCGAGAACTAAAGTCACGGTCAAGTGTTTCCCCTAAGAGGGCGGGGCGGCGGACAACGGGTGGGTCCTGCCGGAGCGGGGAGAAGCCCGATGTGTAGGCTTTCGGGGAAAATTCCAACGCCCTTCCAGCCACCGTCACCTCCCTCTCAAAGCGCCACTCTGTACCTCCATGGAGTCCGGGCTGCAGGGCCGGGGGCAGCCACCCGGCACCCTGCCCTGGTCTTGGGCTGCGACTGCTGCGAGCCAGTAGGCTGGGGCTCCCCTGGGCGCCCTGAACCCAGGGAGTCCCAACCCTCAGCGAAAAGAAAAGTGAAAGAGGAAAGAGCCAGTAGCTAAGGCAAAGATAAACACCCCGGCGGAGGCTGGGGGAAGGGCGGGATGGCAGCAGCTTCCAGAAAAGTGCCCCAGGTGTCGCGACTCCCCGCTGCCGGAGCTGGACTCCCGGCAAGTTTACACCACTGCCACGCCCCGGGGCGCAGAACCTGGAGGGTGGGCTGAGGGAGGCCAGGGAGCTGGCCCGCCTCGCAGGAGCGCAGCTCCGGCCTCGAGCCGCGCCCCCTGGAGCACCTGCAAAGAAAACGCAAGGGGATGGCACGGGAGACTTCCTCAGAGAGGCCCGGAGACCTGCACGCGCGAAGGGAAAATGTGTTTGATAGGGATGAGTGGCTAGTCCAGACCAGCCTTCGGCACGCTGCGCTGACTGAAAGCAGGAACACTCTGAAATTTTACTCGAGAAAACGGAGGAAGACACCCGGGTGACTACTTTCTCCCAAACAGTTGACACAGAGGGTGAACGTGAAGGAATGAGTCTGCAGATCATTCACTTCTCCAGTCGAGTGCATAATGGAGTATTAATACACAAGGTCTCATTTAATGGGATCATTTAATGAGACCCTGTGACATGTTGTATTTTACATTTGAAGGAAGGGTCTGAGTTCTTTGAGGCTGAATGATGTGCATGCCACACAGCAGAAAAGCCTTCGTGCCCAGTTTCAGAAGCACTTGGGAGAACCTTGCACACGTGTGAATCTCTGAAAATCCCTGGTGGTTGGTGTATTCGCAAATTTTTCAGTCATGTCACAGAAAAAATAAGTCTCCCTGGAGTTTAGAAAACATTCAACTACCTTTTCTTTGCATTACATTTATGTTAAAACAAAATAGAAAATTGGCAGTGATTTAAATATCAAATAGAAAACATTCAACTACCTTTTCTGTGCATTACATTTATGTTAAAACGAAATAGAAAATTGGCAGTGATTTAAATATCAAATGTGCATGAAATTCCATATAAAAGAATTTCATATTTTTATGAAAAAGTTGAGCCCTAGATAGTCATTATTAACAAAATAAGTGGTATATTAAAAGACTTTAGGCAGATTGGAGAGCGAAAAAATAACATAGGTAACAATAAAGTAAAATTGAAAATGATTATGACATATGCTTTGCTCTATTTTCCTCCCAAATATGTAGGTCAAATTTGTTTTCTTAATTAAAGAAAAAGGTGTGTTTGTTAATCAGTTATATAAATGCCTGAAATTCAGTGAAGTTGGGTTTTCAGCATAATTTGTTTTCTGTTGCGCTGAGCTCAAACAAAAAACTCTAATATATGCAACTTGCACTTTCATTTGCCACAGGCTGTTTGGCAACAGATTGAAAATTACTCACACCAGTGAGCAAGTAAATGAAGACCAAGTATGATGAAATAATTTGAAACTGCCCTAAGATAACTAATAAAATCATAATGTGTAAAGAAGTAAAAGTTAACTAAACCTCGCAGAAGTGACCGTAATCTTTCCTTAAATTTAAAGAATTATCAATGAAATCAGAGTTTAATAAACATTTAATATCTGATTTTTCATTCCAGGGACAGTGCTTGCTAAACGAGCAGTTGTCTTTAATATACATTAATACAGGCATACTTCAGAGGGATTGCAGGCTTGGTATCAGACCACTGCAATAAGGTGAATATCACAATAATGTGAATCATATGATTTTTTTTATTTCCTAATGTGTAGAAAAGTTATGTTTACACTACACTGTAGTCTAGTAGGTGGGTAATAGGATTTTGTCTAAAAAAATCAATGTACTTACCTTAATTAAAAAATACGCCATTGCTAAAAAATACTAACCATCATCTGAGCTTTTCAGTAAGTCATAATCAGTGATTACAGATCACCATAACAAATAGAGTAACCATGAAAAAGTTTGAAATACTGCAAGAATTACCAAGATGTGATGCAAAGACACAAAGTGAGCAAAAGTATTAGAAAAATGGTACCAATGGACTTGCTTGATGTAGGATTGCCATAAACCTTTAATTTGTAAAAACAAAACAAAACAAATACCTGCAAAGCACAATAAAATGAAGTATACTTGTAAATGTTTTCTGTAGCTTTTTAGGCTGTACGGAAGAAGTTAAAAGTTCATTTGATTAAGTATCCAAAGTCCATGACTATGACTTTATTTATGACTCCAAGAATAAACCAAAACCAAGAGCTAGTTAATCTTCTGGTCTTTGGAAAACATGGCCAGGACCCCCCGTGCTTCCATTTTGGCTAACGCATGCCTGAAATGCAGCCGTACCACAAGGTTGCACCTGCCTCAGTTTCTCAGTGGTCCTGACTATAGAGGAATAATACTCTTCCTCTGCAAGATTGCTTTAGCTTTCAAGAGCTTCTTACATTGCTGCTTTTTCAGAGGTGCAACAATACTACCTAATACTTCTATAGTTCCTACAGTGTGACTCCAGGGGCTTACTAAGTACAAATATCAACTCACTAAATTCTCAGACTGGGAGATACGAATTACTATCAACTGCATCTCTAGATGGAGAATCCAAGGTCCAGAGAAATTGCACAGTTTACCTAAGGTCATACGCAACTGGGTGGCACAGCAAGGATTTGAACTCAGGTGGTCTGGCTTTAGTACACATCCCTCCCCTCTGCCACCTTTAAATTGGCAACTACCCTCTGCAGTTTGTAAAATAAAGGGCTCATGAGGGAAGAGCTCATAAGAAAAGACTCACAGTCTTTGAGTATAGTTTTGTTATGCTCCTGGATAATCTGAACCACCACCACCACAAGCCCCGGCTACCTGAATGAAGTGGCCAGCAAGGGGCTGGCAGGTACTGCTGCATGTCAGACACAGCAGAACAAGTAGCTGACAGATTCTGGCCTGTCCCTGCAGGATATGGGTGGGTTTGTTTTGAACTGAAGCGTCAGAGTGTACCCATGGCAAAGGAGGAGAAAAGACCTCTAGTTTCAAGCTGGAGAGAAATTAGAAGCAGTTAAATAATAACATACTTAATTTTTAATATACTTAGAAGTATGTGGAATCATAAATATTTTGGTACTTAGTAGTGAGGCATTAGGGGTTTTTAAGTAGAACCAAGATATAATTTAGTGTGCTAACAATACCATGCTGAACAGTCTTTTAAGGCTGAACTTACCAATCAAAATCTAGTTCCAGAAAATTAATTACCTTAGTTTTATATAGAGTGTATCATAAATGTACACAATATGAATTGTGTTGGCATTTATTTCATTGACTACCTGTAAAGAGGGATTTTACATTTCATCACATGTATTTGCTGACATGTGGAAAATACATATTTCTTGAATTAGTTCTATAATTTATATTCATGCATTTTTTTACAACATATAATAATTTCAATAAAAGGGTATAAACTAAAGTCAGTATGAATGAAATGTCTACACCAACAAACTTAAACTGACAATGATTTTGATTTTGACCCTGTGCCTGGCAGCAAGGCCCTCAATAAATGTCTGTTGAATATATTTTGGTCAAAAATAATTTCACCTATCACTTCATCATTTTAAATCCTTGCTAGAATCAAAATCTGAGAACTCATAGACATGTGTATATGTATGTACATATACACATATACACATACATGTATATACATGTATATGTGTTATATATATAACAGTTCTTTTTAAGTATCAAGAAATAATTTGATAATTTAAATAATTCTGTGGTTGATATGTATATTTAATCCTACAGTCACTTTTCATTGAGCTTTTAACTAAATTCTCTTCAAAACATTGATCAAAATCAACTTTCAGAAGTACTCTAACATATATCAACTATACCAGTAGAAGACTCATAATCATTGATTCAAATATCATTGGTCAAAATGGTCATGTGATATTTCTTCAAAGTAATTGTGAAATGAACACTTATGTGTGGAAACCTATGGAGCACTCAGCTTTACAGCTGAGCCATCTGGTGTTTTCTGTAATCTGAATTCAATAGTCTTTAATATATGGAGAAAGGAAAAGCATACCTGCACCTGAGGTTTCAACAAAAAGCCTCCAAATTAGCAGAAAAAACTATTTTACTGGGTAGTTTTTTAATTATCATAGAGAGAAATAAGTGATAAAGTGGCATTTTGGCTTGCAAAGGGAAAGATCAAACACCAACCTTACATACTGGATGTCAATCACAGTTGAACCTTAAGACAGTTGTCCACAAAATCAGATACCAATTTCTTAGGCCATTATCTCAAAAAGCCTCCCATTAGCTTGATCTACAGAATTGCATCTCCTCTTACAATCTTCTATAATTATACTTACCCTGAAGAACACCTCTTTTTGCTGCCTCCTACTCCTGTCCCTTCAAATGGGCTTCTCTAGCTCCTTTTCTGGCTAATGTTTGATAAATTAAGCCAAATGTTCTTGCAAAGGTCATCTAAGAGATTTCATAGAGACTTCCTTGAAGGAGACTTTTCCACATGCAATTCCTGTTCTTCTTCCTTGAGGCTAATTTGTTTGCACTTGAACATGCTTCTTTGTGTATTGGCATGTGTTCATTCTCAAGCTGTTTTGGGTATTGATTTCCTCACTGAAATAGTGGAACCAGCTTGGCAAAGGTTGGTGTCTCAGAAATCAGATTAATAAATGCCTCAGAGCTGGGACAGATTGAAGAGAGCAGAGTGTTTGTTACATTGAGGTGCTGGTTTTAGGATTGGATATGAGTGCTTGGCACATGGGAGGAAGCAAATATACACTAGGGGACATGGGGCATTGGCGCGAGAGAGCAAGATGTGGGCTCAAGTACTGGCTTCCCCATTTCATTTCTGTGTGATCCTAGACAAGTCAAATTTTGTCTTAGTTTTTCACATTTATAAAATGATGATAAGCATACCACACTTTCCAAGTGTTATAAGATTAATGTAAGATACACTACATGATAAAGTTTTCATTGGTGTGAACAAATTGAGGTCAGGCTTGGCACCAGCTGGAGGCCAGTGCTTGGTTATCAGGAGGCCTTCCTGTATTACATTCAGCAAATTTAACATGGTTCAGGCTTCCATTATATGATTTAAATGTTTAACAGTATTAGGATTATGTAATAACATGTGTGCTTTTTCTTCAATAGACCAATCAAGTAATTATGCTATATCAAGACACTCTTTCCATGGAGAGGGCTTGAATGGGCACTCCCACCAAGTCCCTTCCCTTTCTCTGCTTCCATCACCCAGCAACCTTCCCTGATTCACACTCTGTTCCCATTTAATGGTACCACTGTAACCAAATACAGCTCCTGGAATCCTCTCTCTTTCTCCTTCCCCCCTCCTATCTCTTATCTCCTACTTGAATTGAGTACAGAATTACATAAAGAAGGACATAAAAATCACCTCCAATCTTAGCACCAGTTCTCTGCCACTTTTCTTATTTTGTACATACATATGATAGTTTATCTTATTTGAGATTTGTTGGAGTTTCTGAGGAGAGTTCATTAGCTTTCCTGGGATTCTCAGCCATTACCATTTAAATATTGCCTCTCCTCAGTCTGTTATATTTTCCAGGACTTTGATTAGGTATGTGTTGGGGAAGCTCATTCTATTTCCCAGGTCTCTCAACTTTTCTTTTGTACTTTCTGCCCCTTTGCTTTTGTGAGCACCAGTTGTGTGATTTCTTAATTTATATCTTCTAGCTTGTTAATTCTCTCAAACAGTTAATTTATGAACTTAGCTT